ACCGGCAGGAAAGTGATTTTAATAACAGATCACCGGCCCTTATTGGGTATTATGGGTCCCCAGAAGCCAATGCCACAGACATTGTCGCCGCGAATGACACGATGGTGCATCAAGATGTCGGCGTACAATTACGTACTCGTACATCGCACTGGGAAGAAACACCAGAACGCCGACGCACTAAGCCGCCTGCCGCTAGACACCACAGTAGTTGAACCACCCCCACCGGGTGATATACTCATGTTCGAGGCGCTGCCGAACCCTCCGCTAACAGCTGACACGGTAGCAGCATCAACGCAGGAGTGCACTGTCTTGAAGGAAGTCTACGCAGCTATACAAGAAGGCAACGTGCAGAAGCTAAAGGGTGAACACTTCAACGCTTACCGCAAGCGAGCTGCGGAGTTGAGCACTCATCGCGGTTGCGTCATCTTGGGATCAAAAGTTGTAATTCCAGCGGCACTTCGCGAACAGGCCACGTCGCTTGTCCGCGCAGGTCATCGAGGCATTGTTGCCATGAAAAAGTGCGCCAGAAGTTATATGTGGTGGCCTGGTATCGACCATGATATAGAATTAACAGTTCACGATTGCCAGCCTTGCCAATGCAACCACAGAAGCCCGCCAAGAGCCCCTATTCCTGAATGGGAAAGACCAGACATGCCTTGGCACACCCTGCACATTGATTTTGCTGGACCTATCGAAGGGTGTTCGTTCCTGGTGGTTGTAGACGCATACACCAAGTGGCTGGAGGTAAAACAAATGGCTACAACGACATCGGCAGCAGTTATTGACACTTTGCGGTCGTTGTTTGCAACGTTTGGCCTGCCGCGCAAGGTGGTCTCTAGACAAGGGCACTCCGTTTGTGTCCACGGAGATTCTCAAGTTTTACAGCGACAACGGCGTCTCGTCTGTTACATCAGCTTCTTACCACCTGGCTACGAACGGACAAGCCGAGCGCCACGTGGCTGAGCTAAAGCGCGCCCTTACTAAAGACCAGACTGGGACAATGCAACGCCGCATCGCGCCCTTTCTCTTTAGACAGCATAACACTGTTCAAAGCACTACTGATCAAACGCCAGCGAAATTGATGTTCGGACGAGAAATGAGAACCCAGCTGACAGCAATTGTCCCGGAGCCCTCAGCGAAAGCACCGTCGGAGGAAGAAAAGCTCCCGCATAGCAGGAGAATTGAAAGTGGACAGCGCATATACGCCCGCCAGTTCCACAGAAAGCCCGGCTGGGTTGAAGCGACGGCACTCAAACGGATAGGTTTGCGGTCATGGCTCGTAGACATTGGTGGAAAGGCCACACGCCACCACCTTAATCAGCTACGCCGTTCAGGTAATTTGCCAAGGGAACCTCCCATTCAAGCAGCCACCTCGACGGAAGCTTCGTTCCACTTAGCCTGGCATCTCGCACCAGATGAATCGGCGCCGCCGCCCGCCGGCCCTGAACACAAGAGAAACGACACCCAGCGAGCGAGCGGAGGCTTCTCTTCTTAGTGCGCCCAGAGCGTCCACGCGCCCACGGCGGCCCCCAGATCGCTTCCAAGCGACAATCTAGGGAGGGAGGAGATGTATTCCAAGCACCCCTGTGTCACGAGCGAGCCTCCGAACCCGCGAAGGACCGGATGCTGAAACTGCTTCCAGATGTTGACTCCTCCCCTTCCCCCGCTCGGCGCAAACGAGCCACCGTCGTTTCCCCCGGCAGTTCGGCCGCCGCCTCCATCCGAATAGGAATAAACTTGTTTTTAACCGTTCGAGGATGTCTAAGCTTTTTGGACTACCGCGACCAACGCGTACGTCTATGGACCGACGACCACACCGGGCATAACATTTATATAATCAGTTGTTTGCACTTTCGCAACGATGCCAACTGGAACATGCGCATTAGGAACACCAGAAGCTGCTACGAAGCGCTGATGCTCGCGAGGATGTTGGACCTGGACACTGCTACATAATGCTATTTGAGCGCATGGCAACTAACCACAATTGACGTTAACCCGACGTGACGGCCATATCAAAATAGTACATATGTGATGTTAATAAAATTAGGTAGGCTGCACTCCAACCACTAGTGATGTTTCACGAAGATTAGCGTCCATTTGAAAATAAGTTCCGAGACATGGCGTGGCTCTGTATGCTTCCCTGCCACGCAGAATACTTGGGGAAAAATAAGAAAAACGCCGAACATGGTGAAATACACAAATGTTAAAAAGACGTTTCGGCTCCCCACACAGGAGCCTTGTTCACAGTGACCGCAAATGGCGTAGTGCGCTCTTCTTATGCACGTTACATCACGTGTTGCAGACATCGCACGTACACAGGGGGGAGTGTCCCAGTAGTTCTGTTCACTGTGACTTTCAGCGTCTACAGAAAAGAAACACACACCAGTCGTTTTCTAAGCATCAATTCTGTGCACCCATCCTGCCATAAACGATCTGTTGTGTCTACACTCGTAAAGCGCGCTTGGAGGATTTTTTCAAAGGAAGAAGACGCAGTAGAAGATGTAGAGTCCGTTCGACGGGAGCTGGTTACTTGCGGTTACCCGCTTTCTTTCATGAACTCGGTGCAGCGAAAACTGCAGCGCCCGGCTCAGTCACACATCATTGCTACAAGAAAACGCGTATGGTGCCTTACGTCCCAGGCTTCAGCAAGACCCTCGCTCGGGTATTGCGCGGCTACGACGTCCAAGTGGCTCACGTTCCGACACGAAAGCTCCAAGGCCGTCTCACAAATGTGAAAGATATGTTGGACAGACATGATTTTCACGGCGTGGTGTGTAAAATTTTTTGCAAAGATTGTGAATATGGATACGTTGGCGAAACGGGCAATTACAAAAGAAGGCTCCGGGAACATTTTAATGACGTAAAGAACAAAAACGTGGCTTCAAATGCCATCGCAGAACATGTGGCGTCTACCGGGCACCCTATCGACTAAAATAAAGCCTGCATTTCCACGGAAAGAAAGTTGTTACAACGATTGCACATGGAATCTCTGGCCATTCAAACTACTGCGCATACGTTGAACAGAAATACTTGGACACTCCCCCCTGTGTACGCGCGATGTCTGCAACACGTGATGAAACGTGCATAAGAAGAGCTCACTACGCCATTGGCGGTCACTGTGAACAAGGCTCCCGTGTGGGGAGCTGAAACGTCTTTTTAACTTTTGTGCATTTCACCTTGAACGGCGTTTTTGTTATTTTTCACTATGTTTGTCCCCGACCAGAGGGAATTCCGTCGGACTCTTGACTATAGAATACTTGGTTCCGATTCCAGCTGGGACCCTGGCATTTATTCTTTGCATTCGTTGGCCGACGCTACCGATGATGTGAAGTATTTCTTAAAACTCGCGCATTAAGATTGCCGATGTGTGTTCTCGTCGTTCCTGGGTAGCTACTCAGTGTCAATGACCTGTGGCACATACCCGCATAGCAGCGGCACATACCCGCCAGTGGGTATGTGCCACTGTTGTGCTGAAACTGTTTGGAAACGTACGCGATGGGGTTGGGACATAATTCATGTCTTGACTAGCGTGTCATGTTCGTCAAGCTATCTTACCATCCCATACTAATTTTGGTTCACGCCAAGTTAATGGGGTGCCCACGAGAGCACCCAAACGTAATCGGCTTGATAGATATATACGGTCAAAGTCGCCGAAGTTCTCTACAAAATGCTTCGCATTAAAAAAAAGAAGAGGCTCTGAAACCTCCCTATGCATCATTATGCTTTTCTCCACTCTATCAACCCACATCTATGAACTAGACTCCCTTCCAGAATCCCTCGACATCTGGAAACTCCCTACCATCATTACCGACTGAACAGTGCTTACGAAAAGCAACTCACGGTACCGCTTCAGTCAAGCAGAAAGTCTGTACTGCAATAACTGTGGCTCCATAGAAATTGCAGAACATATCTTGTTTGAGTGCCGAGCATATATGCCGATGAGCGTGTGCTCATATATGAACCCTGCATGCATCTGTTAACGCAAAGAACTTCATCAGTTGACTGTGTCTTGGGCCCGTGTCCCTGCATCACTCAACGGAGGCATGCGATGAAGCTTTTATTCGTGTATTTAGACAAAATCAGTTTGCTAGACAAACTTTAGAGACAACTTGAAAAATCGTAATAATCATTCTGTCAACACAAGACCCCACCCAAGAGACGAAAAAATGTCGGTATATTCACTTTTTTGTTTTAATTATTTATTATTTATTTTTCTCTCTGTCTTTCAGTCTCCATTCTCCTTCCCCTCGGAGAGTAGCAAGTAAGCGATATACACATACCGGCCAAATTCTCTGCCTTTCAATAAAGAGCTCTCTCTCTGTGTTTTACTGTCCTTGCTTTTGTTTCTCAGTTTATCTTTTTTATTTACATTTTAGGCACTTCCTTCTAGTATATGTACCAACTTGCCCAACATTCAACACTCTTGATACTCGGTGTTCATAAGCAAACGCACGGGTTCTCTAACAACAGCTCCCGCTGATGATGATGATTAGCCTGTTTATTCTGGCGCACAATCACAAAGGGGAATCGGCCAAGAACAGAGCGGCAGGATCTCATCTCTTTGCAGTAATTCAATAACAATATTTTGTATGTGGTGGCGCATACAAGAACTTTTTTCCCAATTTTAATAGAAATATTTATAGCTCGAAATTACTTTTTTACCTTTTTCCTACCATATAAAAATCAACGTGTGCACATTCGTTGTATTTCGTTGCGCAACACTGGTATAACCCCTTCGCTAAAAGTTTCCGAGGGGCTGTGTTTAAAGAATGAATGTCACAGGTAAAATGCACATCTTTCAGTTTCCGAGGGGCTGTGTTTAAAGAATGAATGTCGCAGGTAAAATGCACGTCATTCACGTGCATGCACTTGCAGAAGAAGTAGAAGTTGGCGCATCTTTTTGCGTCTTCTGCGCTCGCTCCCGCTTCGTTCTAGAGCGACGTACATTTGCCGAGTATCGTTCTGCCCAATTCTCCAGTGGCGACTCTCACGGGTTCTACATGGCGCGCATGTCTCCTTCTGTGTCCCCAGCGAGATCCTTCGCCGAGAACGAAAACAGGCAAAAAAACCTCCAGGATCCCAACTCGACGGGCCGTACGCCCGTCAGTGGCTCGCTCTACGTCGGCACTGACTTGGACCGCGAAGAAACGCAGCAGGGTGCCAACGTCATCGGTGACGGCGACTTCCAGAGGTTCATCTTCGGTTTCACTATCGTAGCACAGATGGTGCTACTATGCCACAGCAACGTACTGGCTCTGATCACGGATCCCGTCGACCACTGGTGCAAGCCGCCGCCCGACTACGCCGGCATGTCAGCCGCCCAGTGGAAGAACGTCGGCATCCCTGTTGACGAAGCGGGCCGCTTCAGCCAGTGTAGAGCATACGTGCGCCCCGGTGCCGCCCCTAACGACACGGAGACCATGCCGTGCGACTCCTGGGACTACGACCCGGTCGAGGCGCGTAGGAGCGCCCGCAGCTACTGGGACCTCGTGTGCCAACGCAGCTGGCTTCTACCCCTGGGCAATGGCGTCTTCATGAGTGGCGCGCTCATAGTGGTTCCGTTCATGGGCTATCTGGCTGACACAAAGGGGCGCAAGCCGGTAATCGTGCTGTCGTCGTTCGTGCTCCTGGCAAGCGCCATCGCGAGCTGCTTCGCCGACGCGTACCCCGCTTACCTAGCACTAATATTCGTCAACTCGGCCTGCGCCAGCACCGTCCACATTGTCACCGTGATCCTCCTGTTTGAGGTGTCACCCGTGCAGTACCGCACCTTCTACACGGGTCTCAGCAGCTCTCTGGGCGTCGTGCTCGTTGAGTTGCTATTCGTTGTCGTCACCGCCGTCCGCATCGCCTGGTTCCCGCTTCAGCTGCTGATTGTGGCGCCCACCCTGCTGCTTCTATCAGTCACGTTCACCGTCTACGAATCACCCATGTGGCTTCTGGCCATGTCTAGGCTGAAGGAGGCCGAGAGAGTCATCTACATCGCTGCAAAGGTGAATGGCGTGTCCCGAATCCACACCAAGCAGGCCCTCGATCGTATCAAGTTCGAGATGAACAAAGCGAGTGTACCGCAGGAGGCGCTGGCGCCCGCAGCACTGCTGTACCGCGGCTCACTGCGCGGCAGGGCTGCCGTGGTGTGCGTTACCACGTTCATCGTCATGCTGGCCTACTATTCGCTCACCTGGAGCCGTCGACTGGGCGGAGGCAGTAACCTGGTGGTGCGCGTCGTTTACGTGGTGGCCCTTGTTCCCACCTACGGTGCCATGTACGCTGCTCTCAACACCCTGGGTCGCCTGCAGCTTATGCTGCTGCTCTTCGCACTTCTGGGTGGAGTCTCTGGGCTCTACGGTGTCGCCACGTATGCCGAACCGCGGGAAGTAGGGTATGCGCTTGCCATAGCGGCCAAGTTGGTGGCGAGCGCCACAGTTCCCTCCAACTACCTGTACATGGCCGAGTTGTTCCCGTCGTCGGTGCGCAGTGCCGTCATGTGTGGCGCGTACACGTTCGGCCGCGTCGGCGCCGTGTTCGCCTCTGCGCTTGCCCCCGTGAAAGATGTCGGTCGCGAGGACTTGAGCTTCGCGTTCCTGGCGACAGTGGTCTTCGGAGGCCTTGTGGCGTTACTGAGCTTGCCTGAGACGACGGTTGGTGGCGCCGCGGACGTGTCCATCACCAAGATGGACGGCAACCGCAGAGACCTCCTGGACGTCATGCAGAATACGCTGATGCCCAGGTGCAAAAAGAGGAAAACGACACGTAGGCCAGCGAACGTCGCGCCGACAGTGGACCCTGGAGCCCCAGCAACTTGAACGCGACAGCCAGCGTGTGTATAAATTTGAACAGGCACACAAAAGAGGCGAAGAAGAAAAGAGGGGTGGGGGGCGGAATAAACGGAGTCATTCGTGATTTCGTTTCCTCTTCTGAATAAATTGCAACGCATGCATTGCGTATTTACGTGAAGAGCGCTCCATCGTATTTGTCTTCCGAGCCTCGCGTGTGTGTATTATCCTTCTTAGGAAGTATACCTTACATATTTTGCCCGTTTGGAGTGGCTTTCCAGTTCGTAGCTTTCCAGCAAGTGGTGAAACAGCGTTGCTCATTCGAGGGAACTGCACCTTCTTTATGGCTACGGTATGTATCCTTGTTTAAAACTGAACTGCTGCATCAGTGTATATAGGCAAGTGACTGCTGTGCACTGAAGTGCGCGATGCATCTGATGATGATGATTATTCTCTTGACTTGCTGGCACTCGCCCACAGAGGGAGATCTGCCAAGAACCGGGCGGCGGGATGTTTAAGTTAGTTGGTTGGATATTTAAAAGCATTCAATGGAGAGTCAGTCAAACACAAAAACTGGCAGATCCCACGTACGGAATCGATTATATGCGCAGAACGAATGAGAAATGTTGATATGTCACTTTAAAATTAGCACAACGTTACGAGATGAAGGTAAATCATGCCACACATGACTTCCGTATCGTGATTATTATGTTTGGATGTGGTGTTTACCTTCGTCATCTATTCACGTAACGTTATAGCAATTTTAGTATATGTGGAGCTAGCGAAATGGCCACGAGCACGCTATGAGCGTGGTATGTTGTCATGTTCTTACATGACACGTGTGCCAGGAATATGTTTGCTCCAGCCATATAATTCGCATCCATTGACGTCACGTAACACCGAATTCAATATATGCGGAGCTTGGTGGGCGGCATGGTCCACCAAGTCTCCAAAAATCCGGGAGGTCTCAAAAGCAAGGATGCGCTTCGTCTCGCACATGCTTTTGTCACTAGTCGCATCTTGTATGTGACTTCGTACCTGCATTTACGGAAGCACGATCAACATTCCTTGGAGGTCACCCTTCACAAAATTGTCAAGAGAGCCCTAGGTCTCCCGATCACTACTTCTAATGCAAAACTTCTTGCGTTGGGACTGGTAAACACCTATCGGGAGCTCCAGGAGGCTCACCTAACAAATCAATACACGCGCTTGGCGCAGACCCCGTCAGGCAGACGACTCCTAGATCGTCTACACATTCGGCATGAATTTTACACAGAGGAGCGGGTACGAGTTCCCGAACATGTAAATACGTGATTCATGTTCGACCCCTCTCCACCGATATGTCACCTGAGTCGCATGCTGGCCGTTCTCACAGGTCCCATTAATTTGCAAGGCTATCGCCGGGCTGATTCCAAGGGCCGTTGTATCGGTCCCCCGAACCGCACCACGAAAGCGTGGACAATTTAGAAGTGGTCCTATTTGGCGCGCCAGCGGACGCCAGCTGTGGCCCAAAGAACAAGTCAGAGTCGAGAGTTGATTAACAAAACAGAACTATATTCTCAATAATGGCAGATCAAAACGATACACAAATATGCACACTCGAAACTAGTTGAATACGATATGTCACCAATCCGACAACGTACTACACAGTACAATCAGCCACACTCGAAACAACGGACACAAACAACAATACGCACTACAATGCAGTCGCATGCATCGAACAACCAAGACACTTAAAGACTAAAGAGTTCAAAAACTTATTCAGTCCAAAGTCCTTGGAACAAAAGTCTGAATGATACTCTTCCGAGAATCACTCACTCAAAGTCCAGCGCTGTTGTCGTTCCGCTGCCCCCGAAGTTTCTCTTCCAGGAAACCTCGCGTCTTCAATTGGACGCTCTCCAAGCACCAAACTTCTTTGCCGGTAGCACGTCGGCTTCTCACGCACAGCTGTTGCCACGCGTCTTCGCTCGCTGGCGGTAGACACACACTCCTGTCTGTAGCACGAGTCTTCACCCCTCAGGTGGAAATCCTCTTTTTCTTCTCCTTTGTCACTGAGGACAAAAGGCTTCGCCCACACGGCGGAAAGACCCTACGCACACTTGCGCAAAGCTTTCATCTTCTGCCTACGCACACGGGCGTGAACTTTCTTCTTCTCCTGCTTTCTCACTGAAGACCAAAGGCTTCGCTGACGACACGGCGGAAACACCCTACGTACTCTGGCGCACAATTCCTTCTTCTTCTGATCTCCCATCTCTGCTCCTCGATTAAATACTTTCCGCGCTAGATTCCAGAAAGTTCTCATCGTTTCGTCGGCGCGATATGCAGCGAAGGCTGGGGAAAGCGCGAGACAACGGTTCGAGGGCCGTTCGCGACAGATGACGCAACTCTGCATCACCACGCCCCTTTCCCTCGAGAACGTTCCAGGGCTTGCTCGGCCGCCGATGTGAGGAGGTTCGTCGGTGAACCTACGCTTTCGAGGGGAGAGGGGCAGTGCACCCAGGGAGTCTTTGGTTGCTTGCTTTCTTCTTTATCGTTCAGCTTCAGGCGTCTCTCATGCGCTTGGTCGCGAGAATTCGGCGGCGCGCCCTTTTTTGAGCACTTGTTTGTGACAGCAGTCGAGAGGCACGGGCTCTTGCTCTCCGTTGCCGATTCGGCTCTAAACAAAACGTATTTTACATGGATATCGCCGGCCCTTAGCCTGGGGGTTGGTATACGGCCGCCGTGGTCTACTGAGACAGGCAGGTGGATGGTCTGTCCTTCCGCGCAACCGATGCTACCCACGCTGAAAAAATGGCCATAGATGTGGCTATAACACGAGACAAGTTATCAAATTATACTATAAGACTCCAAAGGAGCTTCCCGAAAGTTTCAATTGGGACGGATCACACCCCTAGCTGCCAAAATTCTTAAACCTTGTCCGTGAGTACGGTATTTCTCTCCACGTCCAATAATCTGGACACCTGGCCATCAGGGCCTCGCAGGCAATGAGGTGGCGCACGCTTCCACCCACGCACTGATTCCCCGGGCTACTGCCTCGCCCACCGATGACCCCTGTGTTCCAGAACAGAATGCTCCTCTCCAACCTATAGAGAGATAATTACCCATTACCGGGACTCCCAACACCATTTTTCTCCGCCCTGCAAAAGACTCAGGAAGGTGGATGAAATAATTCTTCTCCAGCTATTTAGCGATACTTTACTGTACCTGGCAGGGCTTAAACACCTTGACTCTTCCTTTTTCCAGTACTGTGCGGAGGTGGCTGACACCTACCACATGGTATGGGCATGCCATCTCAATCCTTCTTTACCCCCAAACCCAAATCCAAAAAGAGAAGACTGGGAGGTGGCCCTGCTCGGTTGCCAAGACCTGGCGGCCCAACGAGCCCTGGTTCAGCGTGCCAGTACAGCGGCCACGACCAATGGGGTCCCTGACTAGGAACTCTACCTAGTATTGCAAGGAGGCTAAACCCCTAGAGGCTGGCCTACTTGACAACCTACGGTTTTTTTTAAATAAATGTTTACTACTACTACTACTTCACAAGACGCTGAGTGCGTCTTTCACAAACAGTTACGTCTTTCTAAAGCATATGGGATGGCCTAAGCTGCTCATCCCTGCTGCGCTCTCTACAACTGTGCAGCTCGACCTAGTGATGGCATACTGGGTGCAGCCCAAAATGTAAACATATGCGTTTCCCACGACGCGAGTTGTAGCAGCGACCATAAACTGGGGCTTGACGCAAGCGAAAACCAGATATTCTCATTTTCTTACCTATACGTTGCTGCAGAAGTATTCGGTGCTGATAAAGTGCGCGTGGCTCAGTTTCATCAGTGATGTGACCGCTCAACTTCACTATCCATTCTTTTTTTCCTCGCTTCATCTCTTGGGAAGGAATTGAGGCTGACTGCCACCGATGCTTTTTTGTACACTGTGGCCCGCTGCACATGCGTTCGCTTTTGAAGCCTTTAAGTTTAGGCATTTCGTGGCCACGATGATGACTCGAACAACACAAAGCAAATGCACCCAGGAGCGCCGCCGCCCCAGCGACTTTGAAAAAATGCCGCCGGTGGACGCGGGGCGGCGTGACACTCAACGAACGAAACTTGCGAGTAGAACCACCCGGTTCTGAGGCTGTCGGCGAAGAGGCTCGGGGAGTGGCCGTCAATATCGAAAGAATTGAGTGAGGCTGCCCGGACTTGCCGCAACCTCTCACAACAGTTAATGGGTAGACTACAGCTCCTCCGTTTCGAGAACGTATGCGGCCCACACCACAGTAAAGACGCCGTTGATGAGTTAGGCGGAGCCTAACTGAGCCTAAGAATACATAATTTCCACTTACGTCACATCGTGGATCTCTGGGATACGGTCTCGGTACGAGCCGCCATGGCCGAGCACATAGCAGCAGAGTGAGCAGAAGACACCAAGTGAAGCTGTGCTCCACTCACATTTCTCGTAAACGCGGTACGTCGCAATGTTGATTTGTGTGGTATTTGGCTGCCACGCGCGACGCAAGTGCGAACCACACCGATATGGACGTGACGTGAGAATGTTTTAACGCGATAGCGTGAGAGCACTCGTGTCGCAGAAAATCCGCCACCGGCGTCGGCCCTGTTGGTAGTGAGTGAAAAATCGTCTGTGCGTCTGTGACCGAGAAATCACGTTATCGAGATTGCCGCGGGAGGCCACTACTTGTCCACGCGTGCGCGCACGCTCACACTGAACAATCCGCGCTTCGAAGAAAAAAAAGTGCTCAAGGTCACGGGGTGCGGTAGTTTCTTGCCTTGCCACCCCTCCCTTCTTAGCTTCCAGCGCTTTCGTCGGGACGAGAGAAGAGATAATGCAATTGCAGCATGCAACAAACCTTTCTAACTCCACTCGCTCTGGACGAATTTCTAAAATTTTGCCTGCCCAAGGTATTCAAATACCAGTGCGACCGCACAAAAGAGTTGTCTGAGAGGTGAAGAAGGGGCTTGCGCGCATCAATCGGAAGGACCTCGAGAAACTGAACAATGTTCGCGGGCATGGACGTCACT